TTTGCCTTCAGGACATGTGCAATATGAGGAGGAGAGATGGCTTATCATAGGGTGAGCAGGAACCTAAAGAATCTGAAGATACTGTTCGGTAGAGCTGCAGCATGAAACTCCTTTCCCACACGTAAGATCAGATGACCATGTATATAACTTAGTTGTGAAGCACATAATTAACATTTCTCTTTGTTTCTCTGTCCCATGCTTTGCAAGTGCTTCTACATTCCTGATATGTTAAAGCAAAAAAGAAACCCCACAAAACCCCTATTTTTTGCCAACTCTGATTGAAGAAAATGCTCCAGCAGGTATAATTTTGCATTGTGAATCATAGTACTATAATGACTACAGGAAATAAACAACATTTTGTTGTAGGAAAAAGGTAGTGTATTCTGAAAGTAATAATAAAACAAGCATCTGTAACTATGTACAGGCCTGGATGGACACCCAACAAATATAAAATGTCTCAAAAATAAGGAGCTGATGCCAACATCAGTCCTGTAGGTCCTTTTGTGCCCATGCCAACCCAGGTACTAAACCTTCCCTATTTGTTGATACCCCTATCATCTGCCATGTTCTGTGTGGTCATTTGTGGCTCCCTAAACAGTTGTCCCCAGCACAGTGTCCACACCACTAAATAATGGAAACATTTAATCACCTGACATCAATGTGTCTAAGGTGGTCCGTGGGGGTGGAGAGGTAAAGATCTAGCCAAAAAAATTCCCCACGCTTGCCTTATAAACCATTGTCACAAGTTCCCACCACCTCCTTATTCTACTGACTAATGCAAGATAGAAACAGAGTCCCACCTACAAAAGTTCCAGAAGTGGTGCAGGATATCTGTGAACAGCAACTCCTGCATGTTTCCTCACCCAACACTAAAAGCAGCAATCGGGTGGGAGTGGATCAGGGCCACAGTAACAACAGAAGAGCTAACCTTTGTCCTCCGCTCAGTTTTCTTGATTTAAATTGCATCCCTCATAAGCTTGCATAGGCGGGGAGGGGGGAGGAACTGGTGCAGTAAGAAATAGTTAAGCACCCTGCCCATGGGGTAGCTGATATAAGCTTAAGACAACAAACAAACAAACAAAGCAGATCTCTCAGATCACAACTAGTTGGTTCGAAAGTAGACCAATCTTTGTCCTTTTGCTGCCAAAAATACAGCTGTTTTTCTCAAATTAGTTTCTTTGTGCTTAGGACCACAGACTAATGGCCCAGTCCTATACGCTGATACTGAGGGAGATGCTATCATGAATAAGGAAGATTCTATCCTCGCACGCTGGTACAAATCCCAGTTCCAACACTGAGGCATCCATTCCTCCCAGAAACTGGAGCAGGATTGGGAGGCCTGGCTGAATTAAAGCCAAATGCCTGTGGCTTTTGTCTAAGGGTACAGACAGAAGCTCATCTCCATAGTAATGATTCCACATCATCCCTGCAGCTCCCTTCTTAGACAGCTGGACTCAGCTGCTGCTTCTGTGTGCCTCTGTCGCCTTTGTCTACAGCTATCATGTTAAGGCTGCAAGCTTATGCCCGCTTTCCTGAAAGTGAGTCCTATGGAGATTTACTTTATTCACTGAGCAATCTTTAAGGTGGTGGTGGTCGATTCTGTGGAGGAGAAACCACCACTCCCTAATCCCTGCAGCTCAAGCCAGCCAGGACTGAAATTGGGGAAAGATTTTCCAGTGACTCCCCACAATTTTTCAAATTTACCCCTCCAACTGACATTAATGGCATGCTTTTTTGCCGTTTCCGGGGCCATGCTAAGGAAGTGAGGGGGCCCTGGTTTAGCACATCCAAGCTTTCCCCTGGCACATCCCTAGACTTCTCTGTCTCTAGTCTTGCTAGTCTCAGAGCATCACAACTGGTAAAGCAATGGCTGTATGAATTTTCACCAATGCACCATGACGGCCTTGACCTGCAGATCATATACAGTGTCCAACATCCTCTCACTTGTCCTCCTAGGGAAATGCTCATGCCCAGAGTGCCCCCATGAGCACCCGCTGATTAGCTGCAAACTTTGGGTGCGATTCACCTAACCAGTCTCATACTGGAAGGACAAAAATTGCAAAATGGGGCTTTCCACGCTCTCGTCCCCCCACTGTGTTCCCCAAATTGTCTTGGTACGGTTTAGGAGAACCCTCAGAACAGGGTGCAGGGGGAAGAGAAGGGGGATTATTCCACATGGCAAACTGAAATGCCTGTACGATTGCAAGAGTGCAACTTTGAAATCTACTCATTGCACCTGTCGTCCACTGAGCAGAGGTACTGGATCACTCAGTGGTTTGTTGTGCTATCTTCTGCTTGCATTTGAAAAGCTGAGAAATCGTCACCTCCCTCAGATGAAATGATTGCTTGCCTGGGTGGAGAATGTGGGGTGAAACGGCTGTTTCAGCAGCTTGACACTTCATTTTGAGAGCCCTTCAGAGGCAAGAAATGCAGAGAGCAAATCAGGTGGTTTCCCACTCAGCAAGTGAAGTGTGAAATGCCACATCTATCCTGCAGATTGGAAGTTACTCAGTTTCCTTTTGGAAACAAAACTAGCCACTCCGGTGCAGAATAAAGTCCCAAGGCCAAATACTACCTGCGTTTGGAAGAATTAAGCTTGAGATGCTAACAGGACTGTTCATTTCTAAGTTCCCAAAAGCAGAGTGGCCACACTTGCACATCATCCCCAAAAGGACAATGCAGATTCGCATATAATTTGCATGTGCTAATTTATATGTGTAGGTGTAAATTTAGAAATAACTACTGTAATTTAAATAAAAATGCAGTGCAATCAAACAGTTCAGCTAGCACAAAGACTGTGCAATGGAACTTCCTCACCCTCTCCCTGCACGCCCCCTGTGCACCCTGTAATTTTGCTCTGAAGGGTTGGGGAAACACCCAGAGCAGATGGGGGGGGGGTTGGCAGGAATGCAGGGAGAGGCAGGTAAAACCTCTTGCCCTAGTGGAACTGCTTCATTGGATACTACTCAATATATCTCACCATGGTTGGGAAAACTGAGCAAGTAACCTGTATGCTATCCTGTCGGTGGGCAATTTCAGAGCTCTTTCTCTCCTTTCTTATGGTTAAATAGCTATTAACTGAAGTTAATAACAAGACAACCATTCCAATAGAGGAGTCCTTCAAGCAGAGGACTGTCCTTTGTATTAGAGGACACATTTCCACTCTATGTAAAATTGATCTCAACCTCTTAGAGCAGCAGATTCCATAGAAGGCTCAACAACCAGTCTGTGGATCTTTTCTCTTTTCAGAAGCCCATAGCAGAGAGCTTTGGCTCCAGTTACCCCTACTCCCGAGTCCTACAATAGCATTAAATGCCAGCAAACGCCAGGAGTATTAAATGCCAGCAAATCCATATTATGCACTCATATAATGCATGACACAAAGCAAACATTTCATAAATTAATTTCTATGCTTAATAATTACTGCCATATATCTCTTTTTGCAAAAGCTGCAGTTTTCTTGGCAGGCACTGAGATCTGAGAAAGCAAAGAGAGAGGAGAGCCATAATTCATCAGTTAGCAGGAAGAGAGTGATGTTCAGGGCAGAACTACACATTCGAAGAACTTCCAGAAGGGTGGCTGTGTTAGTCTGTTAGAGCAAAGACTCTTGCAGAAGATAAACACATTTATAACGGCATATAAGCTTTCATTGACCCTTCTCCCCACTACACACACAGCACTACATGTTATAGAAATTCAAATGGCAGCACTGTGTTAGGTTTCTCTTGTTGCCTTCATAACATGTCATATGCCTTACATTGTTCTGGGATGTCATTACACTATTTCCTTGCCTCCACCAGCAGCATCCTGTGAAATGAATCAGGAGGCAGTGAAACACATAGCTCAATGACCCCTGAGTATTAGGAGTGTAGAGGGGAATGTGATGCTAGTTTGCTGGTTTTGATAGCAGACCTGTGTCTGAGTCCCTTGCTTCAATGACCTTCTGAAACAAGATGTAACTTTGCCATCTCTGTGTGCAGACCACATTTTACATTTGTGCCCAGGAGCAGGTAGAAGGCACAATGCTCAGGTTAGAGGATAAAATAAAAATATGTAGCTCATTGCCATTTCTGAAAGAAGACCTACACCGGTATTCCCTGATCTGAAAGTAAAAACAAAAGATTTTGCAATGTTCCTAGTTACGTAAGTAGCTCCTGCTATGTTCTTTCTCATACAGGGGAAATTAAAACATAACATCTCAGGCATCCTGGCTGATGAGAGAATGCTGCTTATGTGTAGCAGTGCCTGAGTAGTAGCGGAGGAGGAAGGGGACATGCCTTGATCAACTAGCAGACAGGTAACAGGGGCAAAGGTAACTCAGTAACCAGAATAACCATTTCTACTTTTGGTTTTAAACAAGCCATTGGCAACTGGGCAACTGGAATTTTGCACTTCTGGTGTCTACACAATGTGAATCAATGACTCTGTCTTGGTAAAAAGCATCTGCTTTCTTAAAAAACTATTGATTTATTTGGCTTAAGCTTACCATATGCTACTAGAGGAACTGGGAACTGAACTCAGAGAGTCCTACTTTACTTTCATGAAACCTTATCCAAGGTTCTTTGATCAGCAGTGATGGGCAATGTCCTGAAAGCCTGCTCACTGCTGCAGTGTACAGGGACAGGTTGCCTTCTAGTCACCCTGAGTTCACTGAGAGTGATGAGCTTGGCCAGGATCCTGCATCCTAACATAGAACATGCTGCACAACCTCTGCAATTCACAGGGGTCCCTTAGCAGGCAAGATTAGATGGAAAAAGTTTCCTGTTCCTAGAACTTTTAAAACTTTTTTAAAAGGACCTAAGGACCTCCAGATGATGTTGGACTCCAGTTCCGATGAGCCCCAGCCTGAGTGGCCCATGGTCAGGGATTATTTGAGTTGTGGAACAGAGGAAGCTGCATTATACTGATCCAGCCTTCTATGGAACCTAGTTCAATGTTAACTACATTGACTGGCAGGAGCTCTCCAGGGTTTCTTGTATGGTGTCTCTCCCAACCCTCCCTGGAGATGTCATGAATTGAGCCTGAGACCTTCTGCATGCAGTGCAGATACTCTACCACTGAGCTATGGCCCTTCCTTAAAATCCAGCAAGATCTGGCCACAAGCTCCCTATCTCTGGTCTAAGTAGCAGACCTTGAAGTTTTGTCATTTTGATCCAGCAATTTCTGCTTTCAAAATAATCTGCTCTTCAGTTGTAAAAATGACCACCCCCAATGAGAGGAGATCAAAGATAATGCATCTGTTTTCTAGAAAGGGTTTTTCTTAGCATTGGAGCCCTTTCATAGACTGTGGAGTGACTGGGTTTCAGGCACACGAAACTCAGCTCCCTGTTTCAGGGAACACTAGGCTGCGATCCTAGCATATTTGTTTGGGAGTTGTTTCAGAGTAAGATCCATTGAACACAGTGGGATTCTTCCAAGAAAACATGTTGTTCACCTGTGCAACACAATCAGAATTGAAGTCTGGCCATAACAATGTCTGGTTTAAAGCCAAGCAGTGATAAAACAGGCACACCACCCACCCAGAAGATAATAGCCTGAATTGCCCTTCTCCACCCCATCCCCAGTCATGCCCTAGGGACTGGAGCCCGCCTGAATGCTGTTCCATCATCCACAGAATTCCAACAAAATAAAGTAAAAGGAAGTGGGCTCTGATTATAGTCTCTCTTTTTTGGCTAATTATCCTTCCTGTGGGAGGGGGCAATTAGCTCTATCTGGTGACCTCACAGGATCCCATGGCAACAGACAGGATATATCGCATTAGAGGACATTATCATGTTGGGGCAGGGTGGGAGAGAGACAAAAATTGCTTCAAGCCGAGAACTCAAGACTCAACTTTTCTGTGGCTTTTAGAACACTCCACTGGGGATCACAGGAACTAGGATTTGGAAAACGGGAAGGAACTAATCAGAGTGCCTATTTCTTAAAGCTTCAGCTAGCAATTGATGAAACACCAAACACCCCAGTGACCAAAATGTAGAGATCCAAAAGGGGAAAAGTTTTAACAGTCCTGCCTCGGTGTCAGTCCAAAGAATCTCTTTAGCTATCTACCACTAGTGAAAGTAGGTATTTAATTATATTTAATTTAAAGCTAATTAAATATTTTAATATTTACTATTGTTTTTCAGTTTTAATTAACCAGATGTTCTTACAACAAAGATCAGTAAATAGTTGTTGATCTGATTGAGCACGTGTTTGGCATGCATTTTAATTGCCAATAGCACCGGTTAAGAAAATTAAGCAATAAATACATGTGGCACTTTAAATTGACTGGAAGCAAAATCAATTTCCATTGCAAACAATCAAGATTTAAATGTAGTAAATGAAGAAGAAGAGGTCTAACATTAATCTACAATTCTGATTCCATGATTCTAATTTCTGTTCAAGAGATAGAGACCCATTTTGCACATAACACTGACCATAGTTTAGCACTGTGGGGGGAAAGCCTAGATGAACCTTGGGCTCACCCGCTGCCCCCTTCCTCCTTGCTGGTGTGGCTGTGAAGCTTCCACTTTTAAACTCACTTCCCATTATGTTATAAAACCACTTCTGGCTGGTTTAAAAAATATGTTAACAAGCAGTATTGCAGAAGCACTGCAACGTTTAACAATACTGTGATTACTTTGTGAAAGGTAATAGAAGAAGGAGGAGGAGGAGGAGGCAAGAGCAGTGCTCACTGCAACTTGCAGCAAAATGGCTCTCTTGCATCAGTTCCTTGGAGGAACACAATTGGTGGATTCACTTGTAAGTTTGAGAAGGCACTGGTTGATGTCACCTTGCCCTGACCTCCTTTCCTGACCTCATGTGCCTGTCTGCATGGCTGCTGAAGAGCAAGGCTATGCAAAGTGGGGGAGGGTGCCAAGATCTTGCAACTGAATGAATAAGTTGTGTCTAACTTAAAGTTTCACTGGCTGGGAAGACGTGGATGCACACGCACTTCTCAACTGCAAGCATGTGACTGTGGTGTGATGAACCAGCACCCGACCAGATAAGGAGATGGGTTGCTAAATGCTGAAAAGCACTTGTATACTTGATTCTCTTTGTGCCTTAAGAAGTTTCCTCCCTTGAAGAAATCAAAGTATTGATTCAGGGTCACAAACAAACAAACAAACCCCCCACCATCATTTAGAGGGGTCCTCTTCTGATGTTTGGGTTTTAGAGAATCCCTTAAGATCACCTAAGTTTTTCTCATAATTGGTGCCATGGACAGGGAATGACCCAGTTGAGCCAATATGCTTCTGATAATCAGGCGTACTCATGCTGTGTTCACACTCCCATTTAGTGTGCACTCATTGCATTCCCAGTGCTGTGTTTTTAATCCATGTTCCCATGAAATTATCCAAAATGCATATGCATCCTGTACTTCATTATAAAATGCTACTGTTTGAAGCGTTGTTTCTCAAGCCAGCTTCACACCAGCTGGAGTCCTTAAACTGTTCCTAATTCATCTCTAGCCTAAGTGGGAACACATCCCTAGTCACTGCCCTCTGGTATGTATAACAGAAATGAATCTGACACTAATGAAGCTCTGCTGATGTGAACAGCTAGTGGGGAAAGAGCTGTGAAGCACAGGGGGAAACAGCTTCACTGTGTACTAACACAGTAATGTGAACAGATCCAATCCAGGGTGACTTTTAATACCAAAAAAAAAAGGGGGGGGGGGACCAGCCAATATTGGCAAGAGTGCCTCACTCAGCACAGATCTCACTCACCTAACTCCTAAGAAAGGATATCTGGATAATACAAACACAGGCACACTTAAAACTGGTGTAAGATTTTGTGTGTGTGTGTGTGTGTTCCTATCTGTCTTCATAACAAATAATGTCTAAGTAATATAGTAATCAAATTAGCAGAGACTTCCTGGCCAGCCTTTAACCATATCTACTTGGGAGTTAGGTCACAGTGAGTTCAATGGGACTTGCTCCCAAATAATAATATACAAAATTGCTGTCTTGTATGTTTTTAGGCCACTGTTTCCAAATCCTCAAAGCAAAACACACAACTTCCAGAGGGGCAGCAATGTTAGTCTGCTGGAGCAAACTTGTTGCCATTCATTCAAACACTGAAAAAGTCTATTTAAGAACTTAAAAACTGCCCTGGGACCATTAGGGTTGAAGGGTGGCTTTAAAAATGTAATAAATATTTTTTTAAATGGGTATATAAGAAGATATATAGTACATTACATTGTCCTATCTTAAATGTGGAATAAAGGTAAAGGACCGCTGACAGTTAAAAGTCCAGTCGCGAATGACTCTGGGGTTGCAGAGCTCATCTTGCTTTACTGGTCGAGGGAGCTGGCGCTTACCTTCTCGCCGGAGCGGTACCTCTTTATCTACTTGCACTTTGATGTGCACTTTCGAACTGCCTTCGTGGGGATTCAAACTGCCAACCTTCCAATCAGCAAGCTCTAGGCTCAGTGGTTTAGACCACAGCACCACCCTTGTCCTCAAAAAAAATGTGGAATAGGCCAAAGCAATTACTGAAGCATTTCAAGCCAGCTTTGTTATTCAAAGCCTAGACAGCTAACCAGCTCTCCATCACAGCATAGCATAACTGGAATCCAGAAGACATGCCAGACTAAGGAAGAGGAACAAAAGTAGCCAGGGGCACATCCTTTTTATGGATAAAGGACTCCAGGACTAAGGGGTAGTGTTATGACAAACCCACATGGTTAATCAGGGTGTTCCAGTTACTATTTCACATGGGGGGGGGGAATTAAGGCATCAATGCTGGTCCATTAGGGGGGAAATGCCAAAATCTGTATTATGCCAACCAAACTGTCACAAAATATTGTGCAGGCTTTCAAGTTCTCTGAAAGTCTTCATCAGGTCAGATGGTAAATGAAGCAAGGAAACTAGGTGGGAGGTGGCAGGGGTGAAATGTAGCTAATGCCAATGGCATGAGTCTGCATTTGGTCAGAGTCTTAGAAGGCTTGCCCATATGTGGACATGTATCTTGCTGCTAAGGATCTGTCAGTTTTGGTTCTCTGTTTCTCATTTTTCCAAACTTATGTAAATTCAGTTCTCCACATTTTTCAACAATTTGCCATTAAAAAAAAGCTTCATGAAAATTAATCAGCATTTTAGTGTGAATTTCATCTTATAACCTCTTTTTTATATGCTGTTTTTTTTACTAGTGTATACATTTTTGCAAGCCACATCCCCCAGTATACTGCATACTTGTCTATTTATTTATTCTTTGAAAGTGCAATCCACAGCTTTAAATACATACTGAATCAAATTTCTCCTCCATCCCTACTTACTACAAATACATTCCTTTTACCTTCAAATTTGATAAGAGTGGTCCACACTGTCCCAGCTATATGACTGGGCATTCCAGTATGCTGGATCCATCTTTTAAAAAGATTTGTGACACTTTAGAAGCCCTGAAGGATTTGGAATGTCCAGAGCTCCCATTTTTTATTCAGGAACAGGATATAAAAACCTACAGCTTGGCTACTTGAACCAAGGAGATCTAATCATCTTTAACGACATTATAAATTTCACTTCCTCAAGGGGAAAAAACCCCACATCTCAAGTAGCATCCAGAATGTAGCCTTCTGCCAGATAAGACAGGAGAAAGACAATAGTTTTTAAAAGAGAGCAAAATGGTTGAGAGAGGCTTCTATTGTGTGCACAGTGCTTTTGTTCCACTGTGGTCAAACATGTTTTGCAGGATTTTTTGAAAGACACCCAAACCTAGAGATGTCTATGTTTTGCCAGGAGGTAAGAAATGGAGAAATGGAGGCAGTGAGAGATTTTACTTTCTTGGGCTCCATGATCACTGCAGATGGTGACAGCAGTCACGAAATCAAAAGACGACTGCTCCTTGGGAGAAAGGCGATGGCAAACCTAGACAACATCTTAAAAAGCAGAGACATCACCTTGCCAACAAAGGTCTGTATAGTTAAAGCCATGGTTTTCCCAGTAGTGATGTATGGAAGTGAGAGCTGGACTATAAAGAAGGCAGATCGCCGAAGATTTGATGCTTTTGAATTATGGTGCTGGAGGAGACTCTTGAGAGTCCCATGGACTGCAAGAAGATCAAACGTATCCATTCTTAAGGAAATCAGCC